AAAAAAAAAATACACGAATATTAACTGATTCTCAGTACTCCAACAGATCCAAGATCCGGCCTGGTTATTAGCCATGCACGCATAGGAGAGGTCTGTCGGCAAAGTAAAAGCACAAATTGCCTTGATGTGATGCAGCACACCAGCAATGAATGACTTCTCATATGGAGATAATTCTGAAGGGTGATCATCATCAATTTTCTGAGGCTTGTCAATTTCTTTGAAAGAAAGATGCACGTGCGCGCTAGTTCCCACTTAATTAATGTTCATAACAAAAGTTTACATAAATATTAGTTTAAAGAATCTCGAAAGCATATAAGTCATTAATAGATTAAAATTAAAACCAAAATAAAACAAAGATATACCTTGTTCCTTAAAAGGTTTAGGCACAAACGTTGCTTTTACACCAGCCTGAGCAGCAACATCATATATTGTTTGACGTGTTACAACAACTTTGTCTGCTGCAATCAATGGGCTTTCTGCTGTGGTGACGATTTCAAATTTGCCTGGCGCTACATCAGAATGAAATCGTTCGACATCAATTCCTTGCTCCTGTAAAGACTCAACCATCCTATCCAAAATTTCAACTGAATCAGAAACACGAAAAGAACCAGCCGCAGCATAAACAGTATCATCAATGGGCACCGGAGGTGTGAGGTCTTTGAGTAAGACGAACTCAAATTCGGTTCCAACCAAAAAAGTGATACCAAGCTCCTTACGAGCAGATTCAATAATATTTTTAAGACAAGTTCTAGGGCAAAGTGGGAAAGCCAAAGAATTAGATAAATTATCAATCTTTCCAAATTGAGGGTCTGCTGGTGTCAATTTATTTTCAAAGAAAACTTGGACATTTGCATGTTTAGGATTATAAGGTGAATGTATGAGTGTACTAAGGTCAGGTTTCAACAATAATTCTCCAGTTGCGTTGACACCAATATTTTCTGGAATTACATCTCCATAATAGGGGAAAGCTGTGTTTGCTCGCACATTTGTCAACCCATTGTCAATGATATAGTTTTGGAAACGATCAATGGGAACGACATGAAATCTATATTGACTAGAACAATCCGTAAACCCGATACGAACAAATTTCACACCCATTTTTTTTAATTTAACAATTCTTCGTTCTCCTGAAACATCTTTATATTCTTTAAAGAATGATAAAAAATTATTTTATTAACATTAAAACGCAAATGAAAATGATAAAGTTATTTTCTCTTCGGAAATACCTTTATTATCGACCTGTTTCGGTATTAATTTAAGCTTATATAGTGCATTGGAATTCTCGAACATAATCTGTTTGGCAACTTTTATTGCTTCTTTATATGAAAATTCACCGTTTTTTACAGACTC